TTTTGAGACAAGGAAAAGTATTTTTAATCTTATCACTCAGACTAGTATATAGAAATGCTATATATATATCCACAGACAAATCTTTAATAAAAAAATACTTCATTAATAAATCTAATTTTTTGTGTACAAAGTGTATTAAAAGTTACAGTATGGAAATTATAACAAGTACAAAAATGGTTATGAGGTTGGTTAAGTCCCTTTGACCATGATAAACTTACATTGTAAGTAGGTATGCAACTCTTATGAAAGTTCTTTATAAAAATGAAACTAGTGGATGAAATTCTTTTAAATTCGAGATGAAAGGTCCTATAAGTATGTAGTTTTTGAAAAATAAAATATTTAATTTTGATTATTTTTTCTAAAGCAATGTTTTTCTCATGCCTTTTTTTCTTTTTGCATGTTGCCTATCCAACATGCAAAGTAATTTTCCTTTTAAGATTAAAAATACTTTTATGCATCACAACATTTTCAAATTTTGCATTGGAAATCCTTATAATGTCTGGATGGTTATCAAATGATTTTAAAGAAAAAAATTTGTCTTTTTGTTATATTTGATCTTTTATTTTTCTTTAATGAATATCTGCATGGGTTCAGTCGATCTGACCAATCTCGTAACCACAATAAAAAAATTAGGAAATAATTGTAAATTATGCCTCTTTTGTTCTAGAGTGACTACAAATTCTAACACAAAAACATAAATGTTTAGACTAAATAGCTTAAATCCTATAACATTATACATTTATATATGTATTTATTATTTTTATTATATTGACCTTTCACCGTGCCTGGCTAACAATACAGAAGTTCACTCATGTTACCTTATCAAATAACATAAAGGTGACCTTTGGTCTGTACAAACTAACTTGTCATGGCTGTTTTTTAGTAAACTAGTATTTTGTAAAATACAGGCACATTTCAATTATTATACATTATATATGTATATAGATTATTACTATTTACAAATAATTTCTTAAAAAATAGAACAGTAAATAAAGAATAAAGCAAACAATTATCTCTTATAGTTCCAACATTTGTACTAGTTTGCTGCTTGTTGTAGGTTGCTAAGCCTTATCAAATTTCATACGTGGAAGATGTGAAACGAAATAATTTTTTTAAGTTTTATATATACATTTGAATAACCAAAAAATCATAAATTACTGTATCGATATCGTAGAACTCTTATAATTTATCAATTATCTCAGCAAAAAGAAAAGATAGGAGGTTCTTATTTTATATTCTAGCTTGTCAATATCGGTAATTTGAGTTTCTAATTTTTACAAAACTGTAGAATTTGTATTTTGACATCACAAAAAATTTAATTTGAATCAGTGCTGTATTTAACATACCACGTGACACACAAAAATTGATGTTTAGGTGTGTATTTAATAGTTACTTTTAAATTAAGAAATTAGATAATGTATAATACTAAAATTTGAATTATAATTTACAGTTTGATACCAAACTTAATAACATAAATAAATAAAATAGTAGTTCAATAAAATTCTGAATGCAGGTCAATAAACATGATGACAAGGCCTCTGATCCGTGACGTGTGGAAAGGGTTCATTTGACCAACTTCCTTGCGAGAGAGGTAACCTTCCTCCTATCGAACCTTTAACCTCTTGTTTGTATTACCATCTTTTGCTTAAGACTTATTTCTTACTCCTTTTTGCATGTGGTCATAAAAGGTCAGATATATATGATATAGATGCTTCCCATATTCTTTTCTATCATTCTTTTATTCTTCTTTATCCTGACTGTGCCTTTCTCCCCAAAACACCTACAGCTTGTGAGGGGAACAATGCCTTCACCCTTATCTCCATTCTTTCATTGCTCACTTTTATTTTCATTCTGATCCTGATCATAATTGTTCTATCTGGGCAGTTTGCTGTTATTTGGCTCACACTGTACCTTTTTGTGGTTCTTGCTCCCATCTTTTTATCCCTTGGAACTCCTCTTTTACCTGAGATCTTTCTCCCATTACTCTCACAGGCTGGCTACAACAGCTCATGCATCTAGCATATACTTCTTTGGAAGGGGATTCTCATTGACTTTTCCAACTCTCTCTCTCTCACCAAATTGGACACTTTTCTCCCTCTTTGGCTGCTCACTTCTGTCCTTTATTAAGGGAAAGTGTGTAGGCTGGCATGTGGACTACCCTGCATACTTTCATTATCTTCATCATCTGGCTGTCTCTTTATTTGGATATTGCTTGCCTTCAGTTGCCGTTCTCCATACCCCTTACCAGTTCTGACTGGGTAAGTTCTTTTTCTATCTATCATTCCTTTAAAGGGACCTTATTCTACATCTCAGGATCCTGCTGAGTGTCATGCAGTGCCTGCCAGGGTATATGAAAGTTCAAATCTGCACCATACAGCCATTTGGATCCGAAATGCTTACTGAAGAGCTGGGGTTACCACAAGACTGCTAGACTGAGTGAGGCAGTGTTGGTATAGTTGTCCATCCTTTCGAAATGCTTACTGAAGAGTTGGGGTTTTCACAAGACTGCTAGACTGAGTGAGGCAGTGTTGGTATAGCTGTCCATCCTTCCGGTCCTAGTTAAATAAACCTGGACTAGCCTGCTTTTAAAAATAGGATTTTGTGGGCAGCCATTACATTGTCTTAAGATGTTGCATTCCTCATCTCCCCAAGGCGTTTTTACCCCCTCTTCATCTAGTGTGATATGAGAGTCTTTGCCACTCACCTGGTTATAGCCACTGAGGTGGTGGACCATAGAGGCTTCTTTCCGAGTGTGGCCAATTCCACTCAGTAGAGAGTAGAGCAGTGGTGTTATGTTGGTGTAGATGGTGTGAACCCTCCTCCTACCTCAAATGGAAAAAAAAAATCCCAATGCCACCTGCTTTTGGACCAGAGAGGAACCACCAAATACTTTTCACCCCTCTGGCTGGCTTTCCACCATCCTACTGCTGCCTGAATCTCAGTTCCTGGGTGGTATAATGTTGTATCAGTGTAGAACCAGCCAACGTAAGCCCTCACTCATTTGGTTGGTAGGGACTTTCATCTTACTGCAGACCAGACAAAAATTCCCAATAATGCTTAGATTTGGACTGGAGTTGACCCATCACATTTATTTTAACACCATCTTACTGTTGCCTGAATGTCAGTGACCTAGGTGGCCTGATGATGGACATGTACAGGGTCAGCTCACATGAGCACTACCTGGGTTGGTGGAATAAATTTACTGACCCTTCTGCTTCCTTGTCTCATCTTCAAGTGATGATTAAACATTCAGTATAGAGAGAGTCAGCTGTTCTAGGAGGATGAGTTGCACTACTATTGGTGAAGGGTTGTCACATGCTTATGTGCATGCTACAGCACAGCAATACCACATGGAAACATCCAAGTTTAGGTGGGAGCCTGAAGCTAGAGGCGAGTGAAAAATTGTACATATAGAGGGCAACACAAAGTTGAGAAAATTAATATGTGAATGAAGATAAGCTTCTGCCAAAAATACATTTTTATTGTGGGAATGCGTTGTGTTACCTTTTATGTTTCTCAAAGTTCAAATCTTCCATTCATTACTATCTTTAGCTCCTGCTACATTTAAATATGAGTGAGTTTAAAACTCTTATCTAAGAAGTCTTGTAATGATAAATTTTATTTTATCTAATAAGCTGTGAGTAGTAAATATTGTAACATAACTTGTTTGGCAGTCTAGCCTGCTGATTTGCCAGTAGAGCTGGGCAGTTAATGGAATTTGCCACTCAGTTATCTAGCTCAATAATGGTTTACATTACGTGAGACTTGTGTAGTTTAACTAATCAAAAATAGTAATAATCAGAAACATTAACTCTGATTACTTGAAACTAATGAATTAAGTTGAAAAAAAACCTCAAATTAATTGAAAATAATGAGAAATTATAATGTCAATATTTTAATTACTTGAATAGTTGAAATAATCAAAAACAGCTATAATGAATAGTTTATTATGTGACCTGTAATCAAGTTAATCTCCCAGCTCCGTTTACCAGTTCTTCTAACTGATAATAAAAGTTAGTTTAATTAAATGTAACAATATTAAATAAATTTTAAAAATACTTAATATTGTGATATTAATCCTTAATCTAGTTCACATCATAAAAGTTTGTTGCTCATGCAGTTGATATGAATAGCACCCCAATCACTACTATGTCTGTCATATCTCAGCCCAATGAACCCTGGTATTGGGTGAAAGGCCACATCAGCAGTGAAAATGGTGGATGTAGTGTATTTGACATATTTTTAAATATTCTACTTTGCTTTCACTGATAAGTTCTTGGAATTATGGTAGTCATGTTTAATAGGTGAGTTGTTGTAAAGAGGCTTTTTATCTATTAAATATTTTTAAATTTCCAATAAGTTTTCCAGTTTATTTTGCAAAAATATTCTTGAGTTTTTAATTTACTAAATTAATCCAACAAATAGTAAAGTGGAAAGGACATCTGTGTTTATTAGTAGGGCCATGCACAAATTTAAGGTTGAAGCTTAATGGTCATTTAATTACATTATTTTGCCTATTATAAAGTAAAGGGTTATCCTCAATACATTAATTTGTCTATAATGAGTATTGTTTTTTATTTCTGCTTTACCTTTATTGCTAACATCACTACTCTTGTACTATTCAAAATTTTTTATTACTAATACTTCCTTTATGATTTTTTAGAATTAAATATGCTGATGAAATAGCTTTTATACAAAATTTATGTCTGTAACTTTTTGTGTCAAATATGGAAATGACAGGGTTTTTTTTTATAGGTTTTCAGCCACTATTTATAAGCCTGTATCCTATAATTTTGCTACTATACCGTTAGTAAAGTAGATTTTCAGAGTAATGTTGAATAGAAGATGAATGAATGAGGATAAGGAGAATACTTTAACAATTTATTTGCTGCTTACTATTTTAAAAGTTTAACATTTTATGATGTCAAATGTTGGAGTTATTTTAAAAAATAGAACTTATTTTAATTTCTGTCTAACAGCTTAATTAATTATTCTTCCAGGAATATTTTAAGCTTCGGTCTCAGGCAGTAGCTCAGCTGAAGGCTCAGGGGCATGCCCCTTATCCTCATAAATTTAAGGTATCTATCTCGTTAATGGAGTTTATTAACAATTACAACCACCTACAACCAGGAGAAGTGTTAGAGGATGTTACTGTTAGTGTTGCTGGTCGAGTGCATGCTAAACGAGAGTCTGGAACCAAGCTGATCTTCTATGACTTGAGGGGTGAAGGAACTAAAATTCAAGTAATGGCTAATGCAAAGTAAGTTTGGTAGGTTATAGAATTAATAATAGACAGAAAATTAAAATGATGCTTGTTAGTTTAATATCATAAAGAGAAATAGGAATGCAAATTAAAAAATAAAAGAATTCTTGCATTTAAAGTGTCACTTTTTAACTTCTTGATAATTATTATTCATAAAATTTGTATTTCTTAATTGATTTAACCATAAATAATTAGATGAAATAACAGGTAAAAATGAAAACAAAATCTTATATTACTTATGAGATGTAGTTAGACAGAATAACCTGTAAAAGATGAATTAAAGTAATATATTTCAGACATACGTTCTCCAACTCTAAATTGTGTTGAAATATTAAATTTTCTTGTATAACATCAATTTGACTACTCAGCTACAGTTCTGAGTAGCCAAATACAAACTACTAAAAACTTGTAAGAGTGCCCAGGAAATATGTTTGGGAATGATTATAAATGCCAAAAGCAATATACTGTCATTTTAATATTACTCAGAGCTGTCTTTTACACTTACTCAACTAAAACTTCATTTAAAACAATTAAACAAAACATGTATAATTTGAATTAGATTCTTTTATTAATACTTCCAAAATATATTTAAGAACTGTCTGTACTTTAAAGATTTATACTGAATTATTCTAAATTCAAGGTGACCTATGATATTACATTATAAACATAATTATTATAAAAATTAAAAATTGTGATAAAAGTAGTAAGCAGGTCCATAAGTAGCAAACATTGCTTCTATCATCAGGCTACAAAAAATAAACACATTGCATAACATACTGACAACAAGGAATTATATAAAAATCTTCAAGGCTTTCCTTACACTACCACCCCTAAGGAAAGGAAGAGATAAAAATTTTAAATTCACCCTTTATCTTTTAGGAATTCATACAGTTCATTTATAGACTCTACTTAAAGTCTCATTAAAAGTGGCAGCCTCACTACTCACTGTTTCTGATTGCAACTCATTTCATAAACTAATCACCATGTTAGAAAATATAAACCTGTCTTAACTGTAGCCTACCCTATCTTTTCCAAATCTTAAACTTGTTTACTCTCATCCTGTTGTTTTCAGGATAAAATATAAGGAAACCACAGGTCTTTATCCTATTAAACTCCTGTATAATCTTGTAAACTTCAATAAGATCAACTCTTAACTCTTTTCATAAGAGAAAATAAGGGATCTTAACCTATTCCAATAAGATACTCATCCATCCCTTGAATCATTCTAGTAACCCTCTGCTGAATTCTTTCCAGTTACTAAATATCCTTTTTAGATAAAAGACTAGAACTGTACTTAATACTCCAAATGATGCATAACAAGTGATTTTTATAAGGAGGTAATTACTTCTTTTTCTCTTGTGATCAGTATGTCTATAAATACATCCTAAACTTCTTTAGCTTCATTATTACCAAAAGAGCTCTTCCTCAGTGGCTTGAGTGACTTATCCTTTTCTTCAGTCATGTCATTTAGTGAATGCACATCTGTATTAAACATAAATCCCAAATTCTGGGAAACACAAATGCATGACCTGTCATTTATGTAAATTAATGGTATTTCACAAATATTTGACCAGCTTACAAATCATTTGATCCAAGTCATATGAACTAGTCTTTCCTCAGCTTTCACTGATGTAACTTGTTTGGCTAATCTTCTGTGTGACAATTTATCCTGAAATTTTAAGTGGGTCAAATACACTCCCTTTTTGTTATCCAGTTAACAAGTGACAGAACCGTATGAACACCAGTTTGGAAAAGTTCATCAATGCTTCCTTTTTTTTTGTATAATTGATACTTGGAACCATCAGTACTTGGTAAAACTCCCTAATTACAGAATTGAGAAGAAACGACAATTGTACATTTCACAAATACATCATTCATTATGACCATTGTTTCTGGTGATGCCTTTACTGGTGAAACTATGGTCTTGTTTTCCTCATTTCTTCCTTTTTTGCTAAACACTTGATGAAGTTTTTACCCATTCTCAGGGGTTGAGGAGCATTAGAAATGAAAACATTAAAATTACAAATTATTTTTATGTCTTAAGTTTGTTTTATGCAGTGGTTTAATTAAACATTTGCTTGTTTGCTGCTACAAACTTGTAGTTCTTAACTAAATGTACTGAAGTGTGTATAGCATTATGTACATCACCAGAGAAATAGTTCTTGTGATTACCAGCATAAGCCCAGTTTACCATTAGGTCTCACAAACTGAGTTTACCAAAAACTTGCTAGGATAGTTAGAAGGTTTTTTTTTTCTTATTGTCATTCTTAATTCTTCACCTGTTGGTTTTACTTGTTTTATTTATTCTGGTTTTTACATGTGGAAGTGATCGGTTATTTCAAGCAATGGTGTATGCACTTAAAGTATTTTACACTATTGCTAACAACAAACTGCTTTTCTAATTCTTGTGTTCTAGCTTAGCAGTTTTTGTTATTCACTTATTAATATAAATTCTTATTTTTTAATTTTAAAAACTTCCTCTTTTGGGTTCATTGAAATTTTCCTGATTGAGATATTTTTTAATGTTTTCCGAAAAAATAAGTATGGGCAATAATATTCAGTTAAAAAATATCATAAACATCACTCTAAATTCTTAAAATACATTTACCCACATTACTAACTACAATCACCAAAACCTGCAGTGCAGGTTTGTTGTTAAAAAGTAAATATGTTTGTTAATTATTAAATTTAACATTAACAGCCATAAATAGAAATTGTTGAGTGGCTTAAAAAAGGGTTGTTAATGATGTCTAAGAAAAGGATTTACATTAAATATTTTATGGGTTTGTTTGACATATTTATAGGTATTATTCTTCAGAAGAAGAACTTATCAAAGTGAATGCCAAGCTCAGAAGAGGTGATATAATTGGTGTTAAAGGATACCCAGGTAAAAATAGAAGAAATATTTGATGAGGTATCATTTTAGGTGTTGCAAACACAATTGAACTTTTGTTTGTCAAATAAAATTGTAGCTTTTTAATGTTTGTACATAGATCTCGGCATAAGTGGAATTTTGTTTAAATAATGCTAAAAGCAAAAGCTTTGATTTCTAATTGTAAAAAGGATAAACAATTTTTCCTGCAGGAAAAACCAAGAAAGGAGAACTGAGTGTCATCCCAACATGTATGGAACTATTAACACCTTGCTTACACATGCTGCCTCATTTACATTTTGGTCTAAAGGATAAGGTGAGTGAGAACTGATGTAACAAAATAATGGTATATTGATAATATGATTTTTATCAAGCTTTAAATAAATTTAGCTACAATATTTTAAATACCAGGTTAATGGTCATGATTTGTTCTTGTACAGCTAAAATAGGATAACTATAAAGTAGTTGAGAGTCAAAAAATGGAGCTATCAAAATTTAATAGGGCATATTAGAATAATAAAATACATAATTTTGGATCAGTACAAAGTGAGCTTTCAAACTTCCAATGAAAACGTTATTAACCATATGTGGATGTGTTATAAGTGTGACAGTCAATCCCACTACTTGATTAAAAGTAACTGCAAAGGCAGCAGTTGCTGTTGACTGGTTGCCTTCCCTCTTATCAGCAGCTCTAAACATTTTCTGATCTGGCCATTTAGGTCACGTGCTACATAAGGTGCCAAAGGATTGAAAATAGCAATACCAGCTCAATAAACATATCAGCATCAAAGAATTTGTGCAAACGTACTACAGTAAATGGGATAGTGTTGACACTATTAAGAGCATACAACCATGAACCTGGAGCAAATAACAGGATGACAATTTTGGTGACATAAGTGCCAAACCATAAGAACATTCTCCAATAAACCTGAATCATTTTCAAATAACAATTCATCACATTTTGCTTGAGTTGTAAATCAGCACCTAATATTTTTTCAGACATTTGACAAGACATCTTTTATAAAAGAACAAAATAAAGATCTTCCAAACTTCCTAATAGTCATATTTTGGCCACTAATTAGAATAAAGTTATGCTATAGGCATAAGAACTGCAGCAAAGTATTTTATGTTAGTAATACTCTTAAAATATGATCACCTCAATAATGCATTTATGTAACATTATATTATGAACATCAAGGGACCATTTAGATCCTTCAAGGCTGTCCTACACTCCCACCACTATTTTTCAGAAATCATCTATTCCTCCTCTTCTAAGGTGCTCGCCTCCATTATTGAAAATGAAACTAATTCCATAAACTGATAACCCGCTAGAAAATTAAAACTATTATAACTGGAGAAATGTCTGTCTTCGATGTCTGAAATGTGTGTTTTCTTGTCCTGTTGTCTTAAAAATGCAGCACAAAGAAATGAAGACTTTACCATATCAATTCTTGGATTATCTTGAAACTTCAATAAGATCACTCCTTACCATGTTTAACAGATTTTTTAAAGTTTTTTTATTTTAACATATGTATGAAAGAGTTAAATGTAAGACCAGTGTTATTTGGCATGTGTGGAAGAAATTAATGTAACATGTAGAAATATGTATTTATATATGATGTTTTTTTTATGAAAATGTTTGGAATTACAGAATGAAAGCTGCTTTTTTTACAGTTGCTTTTGACCTTTAAGAATTTTTAAATGTTTTCATGAAGGAAACAAGATATCGTCAACGCTACCTTGACCTGATTTTGAATGACTATGTTCGACAAAAATTTATCACTCGAGCAAAAATAGTCAACTACATAAGGAACTTTCTTGATGATCTTGGATTTTTGGAGGTGAAGCTTTATAATTTAGTTTTCATGGTTTAATATATTTTATATTTTTGTTTAAAATTATTTTAGCATGTCCTATAATTGGTCCCTTGTAATGTAGTTTCATTTTGAATATTTTGTTATTTTTTCAATATTAGTTGCTATGACTTTGGATAGTAAAAATAATAGATCATAGTATTATTGAAATTTAACTCTGCCACAAGTTTTCTTTATAATATGTGGAAAAATATAAATAATCACAATGTTAATATATTCAGAAAATTGCAAAGGTGATTAAATTAATAAGACTTATAAGCTCTAAGGTGGAAGCTGGAAAAGGCTATTCTAAGTATTTTAGACATATTAATCCATCACATAAAGGGGTTTTCTCTGTTGTTTTATCAGTGAAGTATATGACTTTTGGCTTTTTGTATATCTCTCAGTAACATTGTATTTAATATCCTTAGATAGACAAGTACATATTCTATCATTATCCAAAGATCATTTCATCAAGTATAAAAAAAATCTATGGCTATAGATAAAAATCATTAAGTGTAAAAAAACGTTTTAACTTTGATTTATTCCAAAGGTTGAATGAAATTGAAAAGTTTGTGAAGAAGCTGTGTTAGTGCAGGTTGTGTTGTGGGATCATTAATTAAGTTGCTTTATTGTCACAATATTTTTTCTTCAAAAACTAAACTACAAATAACATATTAATGAAAATATGTTGCTATTTTCTTAAACTTTTCTTAAGATCTAGTAATTTCAGCTTTTGAGGTTTTTCTATGAACCTATAAACATATTACAGCTTATATTTTGAAAATAGTACCATATTTCTGTGAAAATAACTCCTAAAAATCTGAAGCAAACGTGTATGTATATTTCTGTTTTTGTAAATATATTGACCTTGTATTTCTTCAGTTTTGTTAATTATTATTTGCATATCTTTGTTTGGCATATTTGAAGTGAAGATCACACCCCTATAAGTTAATTTCCCAGAAAGGGGGCTTAAAGCCACCTGGAGGGGTCACCTGATTTAATTACTTGCACAACTATACAGTAAGGTGTGTTGTCTATCAGTCAGTCAGTAGACCCTAAAATGACATTACGTAAGGAATGCTTAACGTTGTAATTTGTACTGGCATGATGTCAGTGAAACATGCACATGCCATGAATCATGAGAAGAATTGTGCACCCTGTAGTCTACAATGCAGCATGACATATGAACTTCAAAAGCAAGTAATCTATATACTTCTAAAACTCTCAGATTGTTTGTCTGTAATTAAATACAGCAAAAACAGTGCACAATAGTGCCATATTTGTAATGAAATGAGAATAGAAACAGAA